TACAATAGAATTTTCTAAACGAGTAATTTATGCATGTCACTTGAGCAAGTCTTGATTGATAAGATACCTCTGTCATTCTTCAGTTTATCCCAGTCCACTCTGTATGACTGATGCCATCCCTTGGCCAGCTGAAGTCAAATGGCCAATATTAAGATGAATACCTTCCAGATGTCCCAATTTGTGCTTTTTCCTGATTTTTGGCTTTTATGTTTTTTCTTTGTTGCTGATTGATGCAAAGATGTTAAATTTTTTAGGTGAGAATTTTTCCTTGGGAAAAAGGAATTTCTATACCTCATGTACTTCTCTTACTTCCTTCATACTACTGTCCTTTTTGGGACTGTTTGCAATAACAGTTTGCATTATAGAACAGACAGAATAAAGAAAGATGACCCACGTTTGAGGTGAACTTTTGGGGAGAGAACTTCTAATGCAGTATATTTCAAACTGCAGGTCATGACTCAAGACAGGGAGTAAAATCACCTTAATGAAATCACAACAAGCACTTTAAAAAAATGAAATAAAACAAAATCTCTATCACACCTCCAATAAGGAAAAAATTTTGTGAACTTGTTTTAATTATATGTATGTACACATATATAAATTATGCACACACATGTTCATATATATATGTATACGTGTACTGGTTTCCAGTATAAAATGTATTTCTTACTAAGGGTTACAGTTGAAGTTTGGAAAACGTGTCTTAACAGTTTTTGTTTTGTTTGCCTTCTCTCCTCTTAGTTCCTTCATCAGCCCTCTCTTCAAGATAATCCTATTCAGATCAGGCAAAAAACTAAACAACTCCCCCAAACGAATATTGTTTTCCTCTTCAGCATTTTCTGGACATTCACTACATAAAGACTTTTGGATAAAGGTCACCATTCTCAAAGCAACAATCTTGTCAAGGGAAACAAACAGGTAAACTGAACATTACCCAAGTTAAAATAATTTAAATGTTACAGGTACAAGTAACATGTTGAAAAGGTAGAGTGATTCACTCTGGCCAGGATATCATGGAAGTCTCTGTGCAGCATTAAGTAAAAAATGTGAATAATCAAAGATTGGCAAGGAAAGGCTCGAAAGCATGTCTTCTTTCTTTTCTTTTTCGGGTAGTCAAATGAAGCAGTGGGAGTGAAGAAGGAACGAAGGAATCTGTAACTGGTTGTGATCAATTAGTTGGATACACCACTGCACTCGAATCAGCCAAAGTGTGTCTTTTTAAAGATAATTCAGTAAATCATATGGCTTAAAAGATAGTTTTTAGAATAGGGAATGTAAAAGCAGTACATTCTGTTTTTGCCCTTAACACAACATATTTGGATCCACAAAAAACCTATTTTGCAATTTACATTATTCTAGGAGCAGAATTGCCCCAATCAGAAATTCACACTCCAGGGATGCTTAGCTGACAATCCAATCAGGATGCCTATGGCAATTGAAAGCTCTTGTTATCCATAACTCAGTCAATACAGGAGACTTTGCTAATTAGCTTAATAAATGTCAAATGTGTTTCCACTGGTGACATGAATAGCCTGATAAAAATCCTAATGATGTGGACACAAGCACTCATTGGTGAATCCAGTACTAGTATGTGGACTGGCTAAAAAAAAGTCACTGTCCATTCTTATAAGGAGAGGTGTAAGAATGTAACAAGCCCCGTAACTTGTATGGATAATGCCCAAAGCTTGATTGCTAAACGCACCTGTGTCCAGCCATTAGTATGGAGGACTCTGGTTGCCTGATCCTGACCACAAAGATAACAGAGTTTTGCCCCCAGTACTTGACAGAGACGCCTTGAGTGGCCCTTTCATGAAAGTGTGGTCAGATCACCTACAACAGAAAGCTGGGACATTTTGTTAAGCTTACAGAGCAAGTTATAGTTATTGAGCTACCGCTTGCTTATAAATGTTTAATAAATGATTCTGTGTGAGGAAAATTGAGCCTGAGCTTTGCTTTCATATTAAGTGGATACCGTTATCTACCAAAAAGTGTCTGAGTGGTAAATGACCTAATTGGCTGTCAGTTTGAAAAATAGCTAAGTAACGACTTGAGTACTTCTGAGTTACTCCCAAATAATATCACTCAATCATCACCTATTTATCAAAGCAAGTTTATTTGATTATTTATTCCAGACAAATAATGAGGCTCGTGTGTACAACCAAGTAAAAGGCAGGAAAAATTATTATGAACTACACAAACAGCTATTTAGAAAGGAACAGCAGCTGCATTCATTTTACATAATACTGTGGAGTGATATAGCACCATTTACCTCAAAGATATCTTAAGTACTTTATAAGGTAATTGCCCAGGTCTTTGCTCAAATGCAGCAATAGCTTAAAAATTATAGCAAGCTTGATGATCATCTTATGTTCAACTAATTTCAAATATAAAATTATATCGGAAAAATTATCTCAGAAAAAGTAGGGAATTTAGGAAAGATGTGCCCTTGTACGATTCTTTTTAAAAATCTTAAGGAAATAGTTACCATTATTGAGACTGGTGGTTTTCTCCCATCATCAGTACTATTTGTTACTATCATCATGACCAATTTAAAGTCTAAAGTTTGGACAATTTAATAGGTAGTTGTTTATTTAAACACACACACAATTTTATTAATACAAAAAATATTTTTTATTGTTCTATTTGGTCTGTTCTGGCCTGAACCACAAACATGGAGGAGCAAGAGAGAACTTTAATTCTATCGAACTCAAAGGATTAGAATCTTTAAAGATCAATTCTATTTTCTACCATTTCTAATGACCATTCTAAGCTATTGTACTCTAATCAATATTAGGTGGAAATTTGTTGAACTAAAGTTTGACCTTGTTAATGAATGTAAGTTATCATGTGGACACATGTAAATCTGATAAGCATTTTTCTAAATGCTGAGGACTTCACGGTTTCAACTGAAGTATATAAACAGAAATTTGGTGTTCCAGAGTCCTTCATCAGCCCGTTTTACTATAGTTAAGAGCTGTGGTATATTTTCAGAAATATATAATACCACAACAAAATCAAATGAAGGAAATTCTAAATATTCCAGAATTATTCAATCCTGGTGATTCCTAACCCCTACCCCACTATTTTTTGGGTCATGAACCACTTTGAGAAGCTGATGAAAGCTATGAACTTCCCTCAGAAAAATGCATATAAACAAAAACTTCTTATACACAATTACAAAGGATTCCCTAAAGGTTCATGATCCCCAAGTTAGGAATTTCAAAGCTGTGGAACGTAGTTTAACCCATTTTGACACTGTCCATCTTGAATTATTGCTACTAAAGTAAGCATTTTAATACTGCTCAGTTGGTGCCTTAAGACAAAGTTGCTCTTATTTTAAGCACTAACAGATTTTGAAAATTTATTCTCCTGTACCAATTTTACCAAGTTTTAAGCCATGTAACTCCTATCTTGAATTAGGTTAAGTCTCTAAGGTTTAAACTAGTAGATAATTGTTTTCCTTTCACTTATACTATTCTCCAGAGTGAGTTACTGAAAAATGAGATTGAAACTTAATACCCTTGTGAAAATGAACATGTCTATATATTGAAGAACAAGTTATATGATTTTACAAAATATATTTCTAGGTACAGTTTCATACTTGAAAACAAACTCATGTATTTAGTGCCTCTGATCATGATCCCAGACCATACCTTCTCCTTTCACCTAATTGTAACCAGTACAATGGAGGCCTGTTACTATGGTAACAAAATGTACTGAAAGTTCTACCTACTCATCAGGATAGAAAACATTTTATTTCTGACAAGCTCACCATCTCAAAAGTATCTAATCAATTCCTCAGTTACCAAATAGGTTGAAGAATATTACCTTTGAGGGTTCTAATGTTGAACCATTGACCATGTCTTGGCTGTTGAATGGACCCTTAATCCAAGAGAAATGACTATACTACAGTACAAGGGTTAGGCTTATTGCTTTCTTTTTAAAGAAAAATTCCACTAGTCACTCCAAAGAATCTGTTTATATAATAGGGTAAACGTGGATATATAGGGAATTCTTAAAGAGACTTTGAAGGCCAATTTAAAAGCAGGGGATATTAAATAGAGAAATTCACACACATCAAGTATATAAAATTTAATCAAATTCCTTACTAATTTTTCAAAAGTTGGAGTCAGGTGACAATTATTCAGTCTTTTCATAATCGCTCACTTTTGCTCAGATAGAGTATTTGTAGAACAAATCCCAAAATATTTGAATACAGGAAAAGGGTCAGCTAAGAGAACAGCTTTGCCAAGGAAGCTAGAACTTGGTTATGGGATTTCATTCTTGTCTTTTGCTACATAAAAAGCGAATAACAGAACAATCATTTTTTCCTTGCTCTTCTATACTTCTAAGACATTTTTCCATGTTTTCCTTTGTATAAGTTAAACACTAGCTTTTGCATTTCAGAGACCTGGCAGTCAGGGAACAGGAGTGGGAAAGGGAGGATACTGCTCTCAATCAAAATGCAAGAATTTCAACTCAATGGTAAAGAGCTTGCAAGAGAAAACGGATTACTATTTCTCCACTGGCTAGATGGCGTCCTATAAAATACACAACCAGGTATTCCCCCAACTCTGACTGTTCAATGTAACATTTTGCGTTTTTCCTATTGGACCTACTAAATGCTGAGTGAAAGCTGAAGAAGGTAATATATACTGGCATTCCTGGCTGTGAAATCTATACATTTTCATTTGAAATATAATAATTCAAGCATAATCCATATTTAAAAAATTAGACTAAAGAGAGACAGTAAAGGTTTTAAAGGTTTCTCTTTGAAAAGATGGTATCTTACAGTACATACAAAAATACTCTGAAAATACATACGACTTCATTTACAAAACACTGAATCAACATATTACAAGAATTACATGGTTATGGATTTTAATAAACTGAGCATGCGTTCATGAAACTTAAAAAATATTAAGAAATGCATTGAAAAAAGCAGTGTAAAAAAGACAACTCATATAGTTAAATAAAAACTACAAAGGTCCTGAGCCAATTAATGGTTGGTAACGATGTCATTCAAAAATGCCTTTAGGTTTCAATAAAATCCACTGCTTATTTCTGCATGCCTAGTCTGTGAAGAAACTGTTTGAAGTTGTGGGGTAAATAATGGTCAGGAGTTATCATGCCAAGTTAATTTTACACCTCAAAAATACAAGTTTGCCATACTTAAAGGTATCTTATTGTTGATGCTGCAATGAGTTGCTCCTCAGTAAAAAATACCAGTCAACTAACAAGAATGGCATGAGATAGGATATGTAACAATTTCACCATTCATATACTGACTTTCAGTATCCTGGTTCTATTTTGATTTTTAATAAAGATGCATGTCAAAGGCCTCCATGGGAGGCAAAATATAGAGAATTTATGGTGCCCAACTCTTATGTAATCACTGGACTAATCCTCCCTGGTAACTATGCAACATTTGGACAGAAAGGCACAAAAAAATAAAAGTTTAAATATTCCATGTGCCAATCTGGAAAAAAAATAATTTAAATCAACAGGACAGTACATCTACACAAATGAGGAAAGCAGAAAAGATACCTCACATTCATTTATCTCAGGTTTCACAAAGTGGCTTCAATGTGAAAGTAAATGTTAACATTTGGAAAATTACAAGACAATTTTTTTTTTTTCAACATTTTCAGCTCTATACAATGATTACAACATAAGACTTAAAAAAAAAAAAAAAAAAAGAGTTCAAGACTTGTTTTATCGGTGTCCAAGTGGCCAAGAACTGGTTCCCATAACAGAGAAACAAGCATTGAAAGTTAAGGCAGTAAAACCTCCAAATGCAAAGCCATAATACTGTAGATGACAATTTGATAGTAGGTGATCTTCAGAAGTGTATATAGCAATCAGTGAGAGAATGCTACAGCATCTGTAGGTCAAAGTGTGAGAGTTCAAAACCACTTCAAGGTCATTAGGCTGATGACTGTAACTTTCACCTGGTTTTGTGTGTGACAGCCACTTCTATCTGAAAAAGAGTGGCTGCATCTATGCCACTAAATGATAGCTTGTTCACTTAAGTGAGGAGGCACTGCTTTTACCGATTAAGGGTCAGTCGAATGGAATTTTTGATGACACGGATGTTATTTGCTGGAACTGGTGATGATGAATCTGGTAATTCTTTACTGGGCAGTCTCTATTAGAAAAAAATAGGAACAAAAAAGGAAAAGCACATATATATTATGAAGGCCCAACTAGTTAAATCATTCACAAAACTACCAAGTTTTTCTCCAAATCCCTTGAACTCCTAAACACTCAAGTATGTGTTGAATATTTCCTTCCAGTAGTCACACGTTTCTTGCTTTTGAAACTTTTTTCCTTTTTACCGTCAGAGGAGAAAAGCAGACGGATATGGATAAGAGAAAGGGTAGAAGTGGCAGGAGTGTGAATAGGTACAGGAAAAGAGGACTTTGTTAAACCAATGGCCATGTCAGGAGTGAGAAATGCATAAAAAATGCAGTCCTCCTTAAAGTCAGGCAATGGTAAAGAGAACTAGGAAGTGCTTGGTGACTAAACCCTCTTGGGACATGAGGTAAAAAATGAGTGTGTGTTGTGCAGGAAAAGTTGATATCTGAGAGTTAAGTCCCTCAATTAGTTTCTGTAATACATTCATGGAGAAGAATACTAAAACTCAATTGTGAGATACTTAAAAAAGTTTTCAGGAAAACTGAACTTTATAATCAAGAGTAACTTTGGTGACGGTGAAATTCGTTTGAGGGATTCTGAGGGTATCAAAGATTATTATATAACGAAGGCAAAAATCCAAGAAATTGAGAAGCAAAGAAAGACCCCTAAAATACAGACTTATGTGGGATGGAAATAGTATCTTAGTTTCTTGTCAAGAGATGACTGCTTAATCTTCCTCTTGTGTTACCTTGACTAAACAAATATCTATATCATATCCACATCCATTCAAAAAATTATGAAAACTTTTAAGACTACATAAAAGTACAGAATAGGGCAATGGAGACTTAGATGCCATAACCAAGTGTCAGACATTATTAAAATTTTGCCACATTTACTTGGTATACCCACTTACCCTTTACTTGAAATATTTTAAAATCTAGACATCTCATTTTACTCTCTTATACTTTAACATGTCAAAATTTTTTTCTTCCATTATCACACATAATTCATATTTTTTGTAACTCAGTTTTTGTGTTTCTGTTTCTTTTGAGACAGAGTCTCGCTCTTGTCACCCAGGCCAGAGTACAGTGTCCAGTGGTGTCACCATAGCTCACTGCAACCTCAAACTCCTGGGGTCAAGCTATCCTCCTGTCTCAGCCTCCCAAGTAGGTGGGACTACAGGACCACACCACCACGCCCAGCTAATTTTTTCTATTTTTAGTAGAGATGGGGTCTTGCTCTTACTCAGGCTGGTCGCAAACTCCTGAGCTCAAGCGACCCCTCAGCCTCCCAGAGTGTTGGGATTACAGGTATAAGCCACCACAAATGGCCTGTAACTCAGTCTTCTGTTAAATGAGAAATTTTACAAATTCTACAAGTAATAGCCCGTGAGGATAATATTTTGCTTTAAAATGGCTAATACATCCTGGAGAACCTGGCAGGGTGAAGCTGATTGTGATGAGAAACTTTATTCTTTAATGGGAGGGGTGAAAATAAGGCATTGCATTCCCTGTATACTCTCAGAGAAGGGCTTTCTCTGATTTACACAAGGCTGCTTTTTGAGCATCTGCTAATTAGCTAACCATGCTAGATATGACGTATTATTATTAGTTTCAATAGTAATTCTTCAAGGAATAAAATTTGAAATTACAATTTAGAGGCTCTTTAGCTTGTGGTCTGAAGATATTTACTATGTACACTGCTACATTTGGTTCCTCCAAAATATTAACATGCATGGGTCCTAATTATCGAGCCTAGATTTTGACTGTAAGCAGTGGTCTACAACAAAAGATAAACTATCAGGTGCTGGTAAGAAGTTCCTGTGCTAAACACCCAACTGCTTCTTTAAAGAGAAATAAAAAACAAAGTGTGAACATAAATAAATCATGAAGTCTTCTTTAACTACTCCTTTTTCTAGACTTTTGAATA